GACCTAAATCACAAAAAAAGAAAAGCGATTTTTATTCCCACGGGTTTCTAAAGATTTGCATACAATCCTCAAACACCTTGTTGCGCATCCTCTTCTAGGATTTGGAGGCTGTTCATCGATTTCCCTAAAAAACGGGATTATGTGGATACAGAAATCATGTATTTGATTTTCCCGCGCAAAACGCTCTCAAACCGCGGAGCAGGCTTGTGTACAGTTGGTTGTACGGTAGGTAATTCGGAGACGATTGTAAGGTGAACATTGAGGAGGCGAAAACGGAAGAAGAAACTACGATCTCTCAGACTGCTGGAACCCGTACGATCTCCTCTTTGCTTTTCTCTCAAAAACTATTTTTTTGTTCAAAAATACCTGACACTTGTAGGAAGTATACATCATCCCAATTCTACAGCAGGGAATCAAAACTAGGTTGCTTTTCCACCGAATGCACATGGTATCCGTGATCATCATTCTCAAATCACTATATACCAAGATAAACAGTACCTGCCAGTAGCTGCGCACATTTGTGTCAGCTCCCTGTACATTTATTGTCACATCACTTCAAAGGCACTAAGTAGCGTTAAGCATATGTAGTGCTCTGGTAATGACTCAACTTTAGCTTTGTTTACACATATTCCTATAGGGTGAACATCCTACTTTTAAAGATGCCATTCTCCGTGTTATAACTGTGGCATGCTTAACATTCATGAAATTTTATGGTGAGGGATCAACTCAAGTTTAGCCAAGCAACTTACTTTGGTGTCATCCTATAAGTGCACAACAAACGAAACTGCAAATTACCCAAATGAGCAAACGATCTTATTTTTCTATTGGAGAAATTTGAGTTCAAGCTCAATGTAAATTTATCTTAGAGAATATTCGTTTTGAACCCTAGTTCAACTCATTCCATGGTACAAGGATGACTTACTTTCTTGATTCTTAATTCAGAGGAATGAAGATTTGGCTATTTCTAATTTTTTTAAGTAGGGCCATTTTGTAAATGTGCACAGCTTATAAATTCAACATAGTATGAAAGGATTACCGTTAGGGGTCGGATCCATCATTGAATTTACCTGGGCTAAATGCGGCCACGCCCCTATCTTGTGTACCGAGATTCATCATTTTTGTTACCACTACCTTGACCACAAAAAAGGGCTAAATATATACCCATCGCTGAGGCAGGGTTTCGCAGATACCTTACCTCCTCACAAATGAACCAGCGGTGATGGGAACTAGCGCATGCTGAGAACATCGCATGACTTAATTGTGTTGCATGTTCCGTTAGTTCACATATGAAATTAAACAAAGATTGCTCACTGTAATATAGCGACTTTTGGGCTATAATGGATATACAGAGATAAGCAAAGTCAATGCACTCAAGGACTGTGGTTTACAGCACCTTTTAGCAAGTTTTCGACAATTGCATTTATAATATAACACTTTAAATCTCAAAATGTCATTCTACACAAAACTTTCAAGGACAATAAGGGAATTCAGGTGATCTTTTCAGATTTGCGCTGATGTGACAGATTTGAGTGCAGTTGATGATTTTGAGAGCTTCCCTGTGGTGATTGGCTCTGTTTGCCACCTAATCTATATATTTGCCATTGAAAACTAAGTTAATTCGAAATAAGAAGCAAAGCTGAGATTAAACAAATACTCTAGCGAAATAACATTAATTTGATTATTTGACATGTTTATTACGAATATAATATCCATTTCGCACACTAGAGATTACCGTGGAAATTGCTCAACAAAAATTTGAGAACAGTGTTCTAATGGGGCTACTTGACATATAATCACAAAAACCATATCTATTTCGTACAGTAAGACATCAAGTAGGATACTATACGTAGAGCACCCAGAAATCATATACACCACTCTACATAAATTTAAAACTTTACTTATTGTACGAAATATATATGGTTTTTGTGTCTATCCTGCAAAAAAGATTATATCATGCGAAGTGAATATGATATCCGCGGTTCACTTGTCAATTATGCACAGGACCATTTCAAAAACCTTCAACTTTGATCATCTACCTATTGTCACAGTAAGTCCATACTATGCACAAGAAATATACTGTACGTAGTTTGTCTCAAATAACGTCGTCAGACAAAAGTTCAACACATGCTGTATTTTGGAAAAAAAAACGTTGAACGAACAGCATTGAACACTCACTATCAATTTGCAGTACGAAATTTCCAAAGAAATAGAGTATTGTGGAACGAAATAGAGATGAAACATCAAAATTTAGGAGGAAGAAGGGTTCAAAGTTACAAAAAAAAACATGAGCATTCATTCCAAAATACTTTTAGCGCCCCTCCTCACCAAACGTCATTATAACATTATTTCTCAAAATTTTGTATCCAAATATCTGATGGTTTCTAGAACCAAATTGCTAAAGTATAACCTCATCACAAATTCACGATAAAGCGAAGGATTTTATTTACTAAACTTGTTCCTACCCTGAAGAAATTCTGAATTGATTCAATTGGGCTATTAGATTTAAGTACAAAGAGAAAAACTCTTATGGCAGCACATTTACCATGTTCACTACTAGTGACAATGATAAAATAACAAAACAGTTAACAGCTTTCTACACTCTTTGGTCTCGC